TAATGAGCGCGCGCTCATCGTGATGACGTCATTCCAATAATGTGATAAGCAAAATATCATTAAAAAACGTATTTAATCTTATAGCCCTCAAACAAAGTGGGGGACCTCGCCCTTTTTTTTCGTCTTTGAACGTACTCGGTAATACCTAACTTCAAAGGAAAAATAAAAAAAATTTGACAATGGGATCAAATCGAAATACATATATTGTGCATAATTGGAATAGAATTTCACGTAACGCGAAAGCTCCAAATTCACACTTGTAGCCCAATAACATTTTATATTTAAATTTTTTAGCACAATTTCAAATACTACCCAGTTATGAGTTTTTTTTCAGTAAAAATTAAATTCTTTTAGACAGCGTTCCATGTTTATGTTCGCGCATTTTAACTGTAATAAGAGTGAACTTCCACACGTTCTGACAGCTAAAGGAATTCGGGGACCCCCATTTTTTATTTGCTCGTTTTACTTCTAGTCTGATGTTTTTTCATCATGCAAAATTTTAAAAGAATCTGACGATGGGATCTTTTGCCCATGAACGTCCTTAATTAAATGCCAAAATCAATTCAATCATTTTTTGAAATCATGTATCCAATCAAACCATTTTTAAAATTTTTATCTTTATTTTTACTTGGGAAATCAATCAATCAATCAGTCAATCAATCAATCCTATGAACTTGGGGTGGACACCGTGTATTAAGGTGCTGAAATACGAAACACAAAAACGTCCAACTTGTAGCGCAATATTGTTGCGATGCAAGTTCGAAAACAATGTTRCTAGTTTTACATCCTATCTATCCGACTTGTCACGCAACAAATACGGTAATATTCTGCGGTAATCACGGTAATATTCTGCACGCTGATTGGCTACAAGCTACATAATTCAAGATTGCGGCCGCTTCTGCACATAAAATGTTGCGTGACAAGTTGGATGACTGATGAAAAACGAGTAACAAATCGCAAATTTGTTGCAGAAAGTTGATCTACGTTTTACTTTTCGCAACACGTTTTCCCAACTTGCAACAAAAGATTTTGTTGCGTAACAAGTTGGATAGATAGGGTGTAAACCAGCAACATTGTTTTGGAACTTGCATCGCAACAATGTTGCACCACAAGTTGGACGTTTTTGTGTCTTGTATTTCAGCGCCTTTATATTAGGGTATTACTGCTGAATCTTTCACTCATAACAAATAATATCTTTATTGACCGCTGTCTTTTCTTGACATTTTTCTCAGTCTAAAGTGGACCATCTACAGAGAGACGTTACTTCTATGAATGATTTGAAGGTACGATGCATTATACACAGTATTATTATGGCAATTTTACTTAGAAAATAAAACACCTTTTTCTTGCTCTGTCCACTAATGGAACATAGTTATTGACAAATCAAATTGTCGTTTATTATCTTGTTTGAGTCTTAGTTTAGAACTGTCGTCATGGTAACTTAGGGACAAAAACATGGTTATGTTTATGATCGAAGAGTCGCTAAGYAGCTTTTAGGCCCCGTCCACACTATGCCGGATAAATTTGAATCCGCAACTTTCACACCRAARCCGAAAAAAAARTTTTCCGTCCGCACATAAAAACGGATAAAATGTTTCGCGTCYACASTAGTCCGATCAGAGGCGGCAAAGACGCTTAATTGCAMATCTGAGCATGTGCATCGAAGCTGAAATTGAGCCCGCGGTGAATTTTTAGCCTTCCCGCCATGTTCCCATGACAATCATGACGTCATCGTATTCGAAAAAAAATCGGGCACGAAATGTTCTCCGTCCACACTAATACGGCTATTCGGCGTTTTCAAATTGTTCCACTCTGGAGACCATATTCGAAAAGTTCCGTTTTCGGTGAAGAATTGTTCCGGATTCGTCCGGACTGGTGTGGACGGAAGGCCAAACCGGATAAATAAAGTTGCGGATTCAAATTTATCCGGCATAGTGTGGACGGGGCCTTAGTCTATCTTTTTCAATGAAAAAAAAGAAAGAAAAAAAAATTAATAAACATACACATCGCATACACCGCCGATTTTAACTTGATCATCGGCTTAGTAATTCAATATTACGATTCTTGCGCTTCCAAAAAGGGTGTTAAGGTTACTGTAGACCTTCAGGGGTAAGTATTTTGTAAGACTCTCTCTTAGCAACACGTTCAACAAAACCCCATAAAAATAGATATCCTTTTAAAGGTGATTTAATATGATTTCGAAAATATTATTATTTGAAAACGWTTTTCTAATTTGACCTTTAAAACGATATCTATTTTTATGGGGTTTTGTTTAACTTGTTGCGTAGAGAAAGTTTAAACGAAACATACTCCTGAAGGTCTCAAGTAACCTTAAATTGCCCTTAGGAAATATATTAATATCTATTTTTATTAGGGTTTCATAAAACCGAACTATGCAATCTCTATGCAATTTTTTGTTATGAATAAAAAATTCAACTAAACTTTATTATTTTCAAACAGATGGAAATCGATCAGYTGAAAAGAGAAAATAGTGGAATTCAAAATTCCTATAATAAGGTGAGTTACATGAGTAATGTAATTTATTTGAGATGAGGGGTTTCTTGGCTAGAAACTGAAAAAATAAATAAATAAAAACATTGCGAACGATGGACTGAACAACAACGAGGTATTGACTGAACAAGTTATGAGGAAATTCTAAAGTCAGCTACAGGCACGATTACACGAAGCAAGTTTCTCTGCAACTTGTCTCACAACAACGTTGCAACACAAGTTGAAAGATTGTTTACGAGGTGCAATGTAAACTCAATGTTGCCAAAAGTAGAGACACTTTATACATCTCGCAAAGACTGCTGCAACTTGTCTGGCAGCATTTTTATTTTCATATTGCGCTGAAGKCTACACGCTGCAATGCTCCATGCAACTTGTGTCGCAATGCCGTTGCTAGACAAGTTGCAAATAAAATTGCTCCGTGTAATCGGGCCTTACGGAAGTGCTGTCTTAAGCTCGTTTCATATTTTATAATAACCAATGAGTGAGGTTTGTTTTGAAATGTATGTAAAGCTTTTCTAACGTTTTTACTAAAATGGCTGTTCCTGAAAAACTTGACCAAATAACGTGTTAGATGCGAAGWATTTGGCTTACATGGAACACTTTTCTCTGCAACTTGTGTCGCAACAAGTTGCAAGATTKTTTACACGGTGMAACGGAGACTCAATGTTGCCAAAAGTAGAAACCAGTCCTGCTTTTTGCAACTATTAACGCAACTTGTCTCGCAACATTYTTTTTTTCAAATTRCGCTGCAGGTTATACGTTGCAATGATCCATGCAACTTGTGTTGCAACGCCGTTGTGAGGCAAGTTGCAGAGAAAAATGYTCCGTGTAATCGCGMCTTTACTTCCTCCTTCTTCCCTCCTTATATTACTATCCGCCACGCATTCGTTTCCACACTCCAAGAATACATTGTACACGTCAATCACACTGTATATCACTCACACTGCTTATMCTGCATCTTTTTGCCAACGTTTAACCCGGCTGTATTCTATTGATAACTTATAAGTGCAATGACTACATTTTTTAAAGGTTTCTTCTGAACTTCAGTCAAGCAGACTACAGGTCCAGTCTCTGCAGGGACAATTRCGAGAGGTGAGAAATATSACACAGGCATTGRMATYTCCTGTTMGTACCCAAGCTAGACMACAATGCATCATATTTATCTAACACCTAAAAGGCCTATGTAGAGAAAAACAAACGAAGGCACAAACGCACGAACGCATGAATGAAGGAACGCACGAACGAATGTACGAATAAAGGAAAGAATGAAAGAACAATTGATTGAATGAATCAATGAACAAACGGGCGGTCGGACGGATTTTACATTTTATCTGAGCTACCTATTTTACACGTAACCGGTCATGTTCGTATTTCAGCTTCAAATGCAAAGTGACAGGAARGATGACGAGTTAAGAGTCGTGATGGAATCACGTGAAGATGCATTGAGAGAAGTTGAAAAGCTGGTTCACCACACAGAAAATATGGAGCGAAACAACAGACACAAGGTGTGCAACTACTAACGAATGCAGGAGCTTTATCTGTTATCTTACCCTGGATTCCAGAGGATCTCTCGCTCATACTTTTCACACTCATAAAAAAAAAAACCACTATAAGTATGAATCAATCGTCAGTGATTGGACTGCTAAACGTAACTTAGACAAAATGTGAAAGCTAAGTATACTTAATTGAMATGTGCGTGACAGGACCGCGACAGCGCCGTCCTCCATAGAGCAGTTTTCGTATGACTGTAAAAGCTCAGTGTCGTATGCGTGCCGTGCCGTGCCGTGACAGTGATGTTTTCTAGAATTTTAATTGGCCGATTTTTTTTACGCGCAATGTGATTGGTTTGGCATTGCCGTGATCTTGACGTGACCGTATCCGCGCCGTGTTTATGCTGTGTTCCGGTGTTCCGGGTATTTGGTTGGATGGAGAGTAAATTCGTATCCCTTGCCGTGTCATGGCCGTGTTCGTGCCGTGAACATTTCACAGTCATACGAAAACTGCACTAACACCGACGATGTCAAAAATGCAGTGAGACATTTTTTTGTGTGCGCGGGCGCCGTYGTTTTCCGAGTAATTCCGTTATGGTATCTTGTATGTATTCGGACAAATCGACGACATAGGATACCGTAGAACAAATATATTGGACTCCCTGTCATTGAATTAGCATTGGAATGGTGGATTGCGTTATCACGGTCATGTCACGCACACGCCTTGTGCATTTTGATGTTCTTTAGCAAACAAAAAACAACAATAACAAAAAAAAAACATTGAATTCCTCATATGATACGCTGATCGGTATGCTTATCCATGCTCGGAATGCAGGGACACGGTGCAATCACGGTCATGGCACGCGCATGCGCAACTTTAGTTTTTCATTATCATGATCACTATAGTTTGGTCTTGTCGAATATGTATTTGCCCTTCTCTTATTTTACCCGGTCTCACATCACTTTCAGCTGGCCTTAATACGTGTTACATTGTTTTCTACACAGATCGAGTCTATCCAAAAATCCTTCAATGAAGCACGTGACAACAACAATCGCCTGTCATCCACCATGGACAGCTTAATGGCTTCCCATAATGAGCTACAGATGACTTTAGAAAGAATGCAGACAGAACTAGGACGAAGAGACGCTGAATTACAGTCTACCATACGTGAAAAGTGAGTTAGAATCTTGTTGCTTAACCCATTAAAAAAAAAGATAGCAAGAAAGTTGAACTCATAAAACGAAGGAAGCAAAAGAAGAAACAAAAGACGAGTTTCATCACAGCGAGCCCAATTTAGATTAAAGTGAATGGTGAAAATAAAATCGGAAAAACTAATTGTCAGAATATATATACATATATAGGATCAACATCAGATACCATAGGGAAATTATATAGGAAAACAAAGGCGCGCGCGAAAAAAATTGTTCTAGTGCATTTTTTATTGATCTTTTTACTCTTTCGCATTACGGAGGACATTATCTTGATCTCGAATTTTAAAAATATATTAATTATTTAATTTTTCCAATTTTATTTTCACCATTCACTTTAATCTRAATTGGGCTCCCTGTGGTTTCATCTATTTCTCGACGAGAACTCRACGATTTTTCTCTATTTCTCGACGACAACTCCGACGAGATTTCTCTGTTTCTCGACTAGAAATTGACGAGTTCTCTGTATTTCTCGGCGAGAACTCCACGAGTTCTCTATTTATCGACGTCATCCATCACCATCTATAACCATCCATAACCATAATTAGCCCTCCTTTACTCATCTAGTTCTCGTCGAGAAATCTTAAAACTTGAAATAAAAATATTTCTCGACATACTATGGTAAAGAACTTGTCATTAATTTACGGAAACGCAATCTATGGTGTGTATAATTCGATACCTAGTATTACCATTTGAACAAGTCATTGATAACGGMAATGCTTTTGGCAGTATCGGCGTTCCATACTTACGCTAATACTTGAAGGCTGTTACAWGTGGGTAGTGCAGATGAGAGACTATAATTTGTTGTAGCCTTACTACTTAATTATGTTTAACTGTTACAAAGCCCATGCCCTTTTTTCACTCCCAGGAATTCTGCGATAGAAATGGTGAGAAGTCTACAGAATGAACTTAGAAACCTTCAGAATAAAGTCGATGGCTTGGAAAATAACGAGACAAGAGAGGTGAATGATATCAATTTGATGACCTGACCAACCAGTATCACATGCGTGTAGTCACAAATCAGGGTACAACACCGTTTATTGATGCTGGGCCTTGGAGACCATGGGCATCAGACCACAGTTACTTATCTTTAATCAGTCAGTCAGTCAGTCAGTCAGTCAGTCAGTCAGTCAGTCAGTCAGTCAGTCAGTCAGTCAGTCAGTCAGTCAGTCAGTCATCATAGCCATTACCATCACCATCACAGCAATACCACCATCATTATCAACATATTCACCATCAACAACATCATCGCTATCATCATCATCATCACAATCAATGTTTTTTAGTTACTATTAATTTGTACCATTTACACTTAATTATCTATAGTTGTCTATACATATAAACAAACAATAATGAATACAACTTACAAAGTATCATAAATAGCAAACTTAACAGATCTTGTTAATTGATAAATATTTTTTTAAAAATCACCAACATCATTATCACCGACATTTTATTTTCAATTGTATCAGCTGCGACCTCTGCGTGGCGCTCTGAAAAATGCAAAGGACGAGATTCAAGATTTGACGCAAAAACTTGAACGTGCTSTGAAAACCAATAAGAAACTTCAGAGCACAGCAGAAGATCTTCAGATGGAACTGGGCAGAAAAGATGTTGAACTAGAAAAGCTTTTTAAGGAAAGGTAACTTGTAAAGTTCTAATAATTTTTGCCAAATTATCTTTTTGCTTTTTGTTGTTGTTGTTGTTTTGTTGTTTTTTTTTCGCCGTATTTTTTATTTTTATTTTTTTCATTTGTTACGTCTTAGGGAGCATGGAGTTCGGGAAACACATTTTGAGGTGGTTGATTTGCAAGAAAGACTTGCTGAGGTAGCAGATAGGGCACAGAATGATATACAGGAAATAAAGGCAAAAAGCAAGAAAGAAACGTCAAAGGTAAATTACCTACCTACCTACCTACTTACCTACTTACCTACCCACCTACCTACTTACTTACCTACCCACCTACCCAACTTCCTACCTACCCACCTACCCACCCACCTACCTACCTACCTACCTACCTCACCCACTATATAATAATGATTAAACAATTGACTGGTTGTTGTCGGTGTCTTATGTTTTATTGTTCTAAGGTTGAAAAATATTCTTTTGTTTTTGATTTTGTTTGTATCATTAGCTTAAAAAAGAAATAGAAGAAGCAATTGCTACGTGTTCCCAGTTGAGAGACGAGAAACACAAACTAGAAGACCGTGTCAAAGAACAAGAACAAGAATTAGAGAAAGCAAAAATTAAGTTAAAAAATATGAAACAGCAAATAAACCAAGCGAAAAAAGAGAGTCAAARCAAGGGTAATGAAGAGGAGCTGGCCAAGACGACGATCGAGGTATTGTGCTTTTGAGAAGTGATTGTTTACCACTGTATTCACTGYTACGCGCTGATCGATACAACGATCACTACAGGGACCCCAACKAAGTAAACATAAAGTACCTATAATATTTAACGTCRGTAGTTCCTTCAGCTACGTGGCTGGTATCCCAGGGAGCCGACGGTTCGCACTTTACCCCCTCTCTCCATCAGTTCTCTGTTTTAAGAGCATTCAAAGCTGCACGCCACACTGATTAGAGAGAATTCGAGACCCCGAGGATCGAACCGCGGACTTCAGTATAGCTCAAAAGGCTGCGCACAAACCAAAAAGGCTACGCTTGCTACCCGGTTTTTCCTCAACTAYCACGTCTTTCCTAAAGGTAGTGCATAATGTTTGTTACGTATTTTGATMTTAGAATTTTAAGGCTGAAGTAAATAGGATGGAAAAAGTCAAGACGGAATACGTCCGCAAGAATAAAGAACAGGTATTTATTATCAAGTGGAGTCTGGTATAGGGAGCCGGTCCTAGACGTCTTTACCTTGGGCGTAGTGTTTTTCACATTTCAGACCACGTGTTATTCTCCCACGTGTTATTCTCTTGAGAGTAAAAATTCTTCGTTTGAGTTGTATCCATATTCATGTGTCTTCTCATACACAACCCGTAAAAAACGAAATGATACTCTAGGGAATGGCTTGTTGTCTGAAATGGGAAAACATATTACTCAAGCTAAAAAGGTCTAAAAACCAGACTTCCCTTTGAGATATATCTCCGTTTGACTGTTGTTTTTGACTACTAGCTGTGATGTTTTTCTGGTAGGGAGTACTGCCTTAGGGCTGGTTCACACTTTAACAGTGAACCGGTCTTGCACAAAGCATAAACATAAGCAATAGCAATAGTATAAGGAAAGGAAACTTTTCCATTTTCTTATGATTATGCTTCTGCTTGTGAAATCCAAAGTGTGAACCGGGCGTACATAAACTTAAGCATAAGAATTACAATAATACTATGTTTCTTATGCTTATGTTTATACTTATGTTGAAGTGTGAACCAGTACTTAGCCTTTGATCTCTAGGTTTTGACTTCCACATCTGATTTTTTTACTTTTGTTTTCAATTTTTTTAGCTTAGGATTTGTCTTTTGTTGGATTTCGGTTTCAGGCCAAAACTATAGAAGAGTTCGTCTCCAAGGTCTCAGATCTTCAACACGAGCTGCGAGCATTAATAGATGCGCAGAAGAAAACAGTTCTGGAATGCAAGTAAGTTACATACCTCATTGCAGTTAGATATCTTATTTTTAGGCCCTTTGGGTMTTTGYATTGCTGGCGAGAGTCTTAGTAAATTCCTACGCGTAGGTATGTGGGTGCAGGTATGATATTATTTSCCTTAAGTGATGATGATGTTACTACCTCMGGGACCTCGGAGGAGGTTGGGCTGSGGGGCTATAGCCCACTAAAAAATGCCRTTATCAACARCCAATGCAGTAAATATGTGACAAATACCCCTCAAAACACTAGAAATCGCACTTCCAAAGGTTTCAGTTTAAAGCTTTTTCGCACGGGTTTCTGCCTTCGGCGGTCGTTATCCCCACCCCCAATTCAAAATTAAGCTCCGCGGTCCCTGTACCTTGCCGTAGATGCTACCCTATGGTTTATAAGATGTGCTTTGTATWTTTAATATTATATATGTTTATAAAAGCACATGTTTCTATGTGTGACTTTATTGAATAAGTGTTATAAAAGACTACATCTCAATCATAATAAGGTAATCTTGGTCTACAGGGGCTGTAGTGCATCAGCCATTCTTGTTTAAAACGCCCGCGTTCCTTTTACTGAAACACAATTAAAACTAAGCAACCATCAATGAAACCTGATTCAGAAAAAGCCATGTTCCAAGTCTTGGAACATGGCCCTTCATTTCTCAAAGGGCAAAAAGCGTGTAGGCTCTGTGAACCAGAGTGGCAATTGCGAAGTAAACCGGCAAGAAAAAAAAACTGTTGTAGCATTATCTAGATATAAGACATATTTTGACTGCATTTTTTTTTTTTTTTTCCAGAGAAAAGGAAAAGGATCTTGATAGAGAAAGGAACCTTCGGAAAGATCTGGAGAGGCGTTTAAAGGTTCGTTCTGTAAATTTACCAGTGTACATCAAAACCATGTCTAGGCCTAGAGCAACAGGTTTTGATTGTATTATCTGTACAAACATTTGTTTMGCATTGCAAAGTTTTGATATGCAGCTGTTTCRAAAAAAGGTTGAAGGTTTTGCTGCATGTTGCTAATTCGGAAATGCATGGGCGATGCGAATGCTATCAGCATTATCAATATATGGATTTTTTTTTCCTGCACGTTAGACAATTTTTAAAAAAAATCTGTGCAGACGTTATTTAAATTTGAATACAACGCATTTCAAGCTTGATATTATACATACAACAAAACCTTTACCAACCTTTCTTAAAAAAGCTGCATGTATTATATATATATTGCATCGTGTATTTATATCTCAATCAAATTTTCCCTTCAACTCGTTAGAAAGCTCAAAYGCGAGAAAAAGAAATAGATTCCGTGAGGCAAGAAACAGAACAGAAACTAGTGGACGCCAATAATGAAAGTCAACAGGTATGTACCGAAGAGGAAGAGACGAGCACTTAACTATTCCCTACCTCCATCCCCCCCCCTTGGAAACTGGATAGGGAAGGTAGGTAAGCAGGGGCGTAGCAGGGGGGGGGGGGGTATCGTCCCGCTTCCTCTCAAACGTTTCTACCACAAAAGCAAAGCCGTAATTTCTAACAAAGCCGTAATTTTTTTTATTATTCCTATTTTGTTGAACGGGGAACGGGGGACGGGAAATTGGTAAAATTTCTACGCGGTAAAATATATTTCTCGTTACAATATTGTAAACAAATCTCTTTTATTTATTTATTTATTTTATTAAAGTCCGGCAAACGTACTTATTTGAGCCCACCATATCTATGGAGTCGCAACAAAGACAATCATTTCGATATTTTAAATAAAAAATGACAGAGATACCAAGCAAATGGTCTTTGCGTAAAACAATATCTTGAAGAACGACCCTCGAGACTCTCTCTCCCCCTCGGCGGGGCTAGTTGAGGTTAACAGATGTGGTTAGATTACAGGCAGTAGAATCTGATTGACAAATGTAATTATTGGGGTCTCTTTGATCATACGGCAACTGGTTGTGATTGGCTAAAACGACTTTCGCCGGAACCATCTACTGATTGAGGATTTCCAGGAACATGTCAAACTATTGAGTACCATGGCGGTTCATCGAAGACATATGACTCCTCTTTTGAAAATGATGAAAACTTGCATGATTCAATGTTGGAGTCCAAAAGGTTGTTCCCCGTTACCTGTTTTAAAGATAGCCGGTGCCGGTAATGGTTGACTTCCCTTGATCGGTTTTTATTCTAATAGTAATACTGTGAATGAAATGAAATTAACTTGCGTTGAGTTTTGTTGTCCGTAGTGAAGGAGTTTTTTTTTCAGACAACAATATAGGCGTTTGAGAAATAGATTGACATGTGATTGTTACTGGATGGCAAAAGAAATTAGACTTTATTTATTTAAATATTTTTTGCTGGATTACTAATGTTATATCCAAACCCTTTTCAAAAATCCTTTTTTCCCCTATAAGATACTTTCGATTCCCCAAGGGACCTTTGGCCGAATTGATTCGTTATCAAAGTGATATATCAGCTGTGACTGTTTGTTGCAAAAGCCTATTGAGCATATTAACATCATAAAAGATTTCAGTCCTCAATATAATGGCCGGGAATTCTTTTATTTTGACTCCCAGATCTAGCTGCTTTGACGTCACATGCGAGGGGTCTATAAAATACATTGTTAACCAATCATGTTCATCCTAGGTTACTGAGAGTYTAAAACAAGCACACAAATGGTTTAAGAATAAATTCGAAGATCTCCAGGCTGAACTTGCTCGATCCAAGTAAGAAACACACCACGTGTATCATCACTACAATACTACAACAACCATTATCGTCATCATCATCATCATCATCATCGTCAACGTCATCGTCATTATCGTCATCATCATCGTCATCATCATCGTCATTATCGTCATCATCATCCTCTTTGTTATGAACAAAATAGTAGACTGTTACATGCTTTCTGATTCTCACCTTTGATTATTTACACTTAATAATATGCGCTTTTGAGGTGTAAACGGAGGGTAAAACGCACTTATGACGCAGAAATCTGACCAGACGATGTTGAAAATACCTATTTTGATATTTAAATACAAATTAAATGAAACAGTTATAAACAAATATAGGTTCAGGGGCAAAGAAGCTCAAAGTACATTTTTGACTACCATAAGAAAGCATTATGGGTCACGCGAAAAAAGAGAGAATGCGTCTCTGATTAATGACTGACATGGTATATAGCCAGTTGGGCCATGCCATGCCCTGCGGTTAAGTWTTTATTTAGTTACCCTGGTTGTCTTTTGAAAACTATAAATTAATTTATCATCATTGATRTCATGCKGTATTGTGAACTTCAGGAAACTYCAAAACGCACTTGAAAGAGAAAACCGTGAACAGCAGAGAAAACTWAAAGACGAAAGAAAACAAGTAGACGAACAGACAGAGAAGGCCAGAGAAGTGTTAAGGGTAAGGGATGCAAATAAAATATAAAAAAAGCTAGAAGGCATGGAGCTGAGATGTCGTGTCAATGCTTCTTCGAGCGTATCACTTTTTGACTGGTGCTCTGTGATTGGCTTAACAAATGTCAAGTGCGTGATCGTTTCATATGTCTTCACAACATGAATGTCTTTAATGTGCTGATTTTAGAGATGTTTGTTCATTAGTTTCTTACTTCCTTAATTCCTTCATATATTCATTCGAGTTGTATCCATATTCATGTCTTCTCATGTGCAACCGTGACACAAACAAAGAAATGATACTCTTAGGAAWGACACGTRGTCTGTAATGGGAAAACAATGTACCAAGACGAATAATCGTTTGTTTGTATATTYAAGGCCAGTAGAATGGCTGTCAGTCAACTGAGTAGTGAAGTGGCAGAGAACTACTGGGAAACTAAGGGAATGAAGCATGCTCTGCAGGCAGAAAAGGATTACAGCGATGTGACGACGCTCAAACTACAGCGACTTCAGGTACGAAGGGTAATACTTTTATTCGTTTGTCTCACGTTATTGCTAACTGCGCTGCAAGAAATACCGCATAAAACTGTATACTATAATCGTGAAGAGCGCTGGTTACTCTTCCCTCCAAAATGATATATGCTTGGCGTTCCTTGTCCTTTTATGACGTCACTGCAAGAGGTCTATTTGTTAAAAGATGACATTTTCTTTCCTTTCCTTTCCTTTCCTTATACAGCTATTTCAAAAAAGGTTGAATACTGCATACTGCATACTAAATTTAACAAATTGMCATCAGATTTTTATGTGTCTGTCCTCTTATTGACAATAAATTGCGTCATCACATTGTCAAAGTAGTGTGGATTCAAGAGGCGTAGCCGAGTGTATCCGCATACTACTTTGACAATGTGATGACGCAATTTATTGTCAATAAGAGGACAGACACATAAAAATCTGATGGCAATTTGTTTTTTACGATAACAAAAACGATAAAAACTTCTAATTTTTAGCGACCAAAACAACMAACGGAAAGAGCGCGCGCTCGTTGACGTCAGCTTTATCTGTCTGTCCTCTTATTGATGATAAAAAATAACCAATCAGCGCGCGAGGAATTTGTAAATTATTGTAAAAAGTGCATTCCAAGACCGAAGTGCTTTGTGGGTCATACTGACATTGTCTAAAGTAGAGATAACTAGCTAAAAACTAGTGTGAGCTGCGTCGGTGTTTCTAATGAAACAGTTATGATAAAAAGGTAAATTATACACCGTGAAAAGATGGAAAAACTTACTGACGTTTGGGACGCTAGKYMTTCGTCTGAGTAAAAGAGGATTGTCTAAAGTAGGATTAATAATGATTATTTATTTTGTTTTTAGTGTATTCCAYCTGAAACRAWATACTAACCATATGTAGATAGTTAGTTGTTGTATATKTACTTTTGATTTCAAATTAACGAGACCCACAATGCACTKCTGTCTTGGAATGCACTATTCARTATGCAGTATTCAATCTTTTTTTGAAATAGCTCTATAATATAATTGTAAATATATRGGGACAGGAACGTATGCCCCTAAACACACATAATTATGTGAATGTGTAGTGTAACAGGRAGAACGTATAACATGGTGAAGCTTGAAAAACGTATTTGTATAATTTATTTATTTGTTGTTTATTCGGTTAWATAGGATTCCACTGCCCGTCACATGGAAGACCTCGCACAAGAGGTAGACAGGTTAAGGAGATCTGCAAGATAAGGTCGAATAAAGCAAACGTACACACGACTTCTCATGACCATATCARAAAGAATTCGCAGAGTCCCAGGAATAGGGTCGGGGGGCTAGGAAATATATTAGTATTTTTTACGTCAAAAAATTATATATTTATTCATACATAGTCAACACTTTTCTAAGGTTCATAGAAAAATACTACAGTACGACAAAAATGTATCTTTTAATTAAAAATCCATAGAGAGCTTTGCCAAGCGGGTTTCTGATGTAAATATATAACAAGATATTGTATTTATAATAAGTAAGTAAAGTGTAACATAAAGTACATGAGCAAACATCTTCCAACAGTGCTTTGCTTCTCGCATTTACAATACAATGTCTAACACGCCAATTTATAACACTCCCTTTTCCGAGTCTTCTTTGTTTTCTTCTTCTTTGGATCAAACCAAAGATACCAAGACCCGAATGCTTTATGGGTGATTATGACTTGCTATTTAAGTAAGTATGTGTCAAAAAACTAGTAAACCGTTAGCTAGCTACTAACTTAATCCCTTAATTCATCAAATCCACGGGACAAGMTCGGCCGAGTGAGTGGAAATTATACATACTTACAATGTTAAATCTTTTTCAGTTTTGGATAACAAAAAAATAATTGTCAACGACCGMACAGCACTCTTGCTTCGGCCGCGTAGCGGCCTAATAGGGACGGGGATGGCCTAAAAAGGGTGGGTGTGGGGGTAGGGGGTGGGGGACAGGGGGTATGGGTCTTTTTTACAACAATTCTTAAACTGGTGTAAATAGTGAGATCGAAATGTGCTTTACATTTTTAAAGGCGTTGATATGTAATACTATCAGGAGACCCGCTGAGCATCAGACGTCCAGGTTCGTACATTAGATCAACTATGTAGGTCTTGGGAGGAAGGATCGGACCACCAGCCTAATAAACATCATTACAAAATAGTTCGACTTTTGTAGCGTTTTATGCATAGTAAGGTGCACAACACWCATCTAACATCAGCATGTAGCTGTATACTGAGCCTGATACCAACGCTACGCTGACAGAAGGGAATGGCTAACTCACAGATCAAACAATAAAAAAACTTTTGGGCTTAATCTTATTAAGCCAGGTCACAGATCCTGAAACATCGTCTTGCCTGATCAAAGTCAGGGCACGGAAATACGGAAAACCTGAAGAAAAACACTACTCGAATCAAGGGAGTGACCTAACAAATGCCGAGTCCAGGAATCGAACCCGAGAGGCGAGAGAACTACCGYTACTTCCTATCTAAATTTATAGAGTTACCTTGGAGTCTTCACAAAGCATGACTTCGTTCCAGGCCCTGTTGTATTCACCACGGATGAGGGAACAGCTAACAGCGATACGATCAGCAAGAGCCTGAATGCAGATATTGCTATTAGATTACAAAGATAATCGACTTGAGGGGTTCGAGGAGAGTATAACTAATGGGAAGGGGCACAAAATCTAAAGGAACTCCCTTGCCGGGTTACGGATCATAAATTACAACATTGTGCTGCAAGTTAGAAACGACATATTGTGTGTGCTATCTTACCACTCTTTTCACTGCTACGCGCTGATCGAGACAACAGTYGTAACAGGGATATAGGGAAATACGCTGCCGCCAATCAAAGAATATAARGGTACCGACCAATTTATTTGATTGAYGCAAGTGTATTGCCCAATTTCCCTGWCGCGACTGTTGTYTCGATCAGCGCGTAGCAATGAAAAGAGTGGTAACTCAACTTAGCATGTTAGCTGTAACTGGATCGATATATTACCTTGAACAATAAAGCCCTGTGGTAGAATATCCCTGTATGGATTCTACCAATAGGAATGATGTTAGAATCCAGTTCAACTTTGATTTGACTGATCGGTAGCTCGTAGCTGAAGGATGAGAGTGCATCACGCTCTACTGGACCACCCATCTTATCACTGACAAACCTGGGAGAAAAAATCATTTTCCTATCAGCAAGAAACTTTCAATAATGATTGATATAAATACAATGRCTGGGTGGTAGAACGTTTTACTTCAAGTAAACGTCCTTCCCCAARCTTTTCCAAAGTCCAAAAGGAAGATTGGAGATGAACTCGTATTGCAAAGAATTGTGAGACAAGATTTAGGCTTCTTCCACATTCCCCAACATTTTTAATCTCACAATTTTAAGAATTATAAGTTTTATTTTTCTTAAGTCTTCAAGACGCCGAATAGACCTTATTCGTGCTGTGACAATGTTTTCCCAATTCAGCGTGATAAACCTCCAAAGGATKCACTCTCTTTTGTTGTTACTCTTGAAAAACTCATGAGTATCCCAAAGAATACGAAAGRAACAACGATGATAAGACTCGACCCACCTCGCAAGTGCAACAATTTGCTCGTGCGAACTGAGCAAAGGYTGTATAGTTGATTTAATCTCTTCAATGTATTCAAAGAAGGCAGGATCTGTTGGCGGTGTCCAGGTGGATGGTGCCTCTTGAGGTTCTTGTGGTTCAGGTGGAGCAGCTTCTTCCTCTTTTGCTTTCTGTTCTTCTCGCTCACGCATCAACCGACTCTTACTACAAGAAAGAATAATTCAATAATCCTGAGCTTGCCGGCCCTTTCATTCGATATACCTATTTGCTGTGCAGACACACTAACCGAGACCACTTGAACAAAATAAAGTAAAGTAAAACTAAACTTTAACCAATCAAGAGCAAGAAAAACCAGCATAAATTTGACCTCAATAACAATCTTTCATTATAAAATAAATTAAATAGTACGTAGTGATTGGTTGATAGCCATGCTTGCATGAGGATATGTAAACACAGTTGTGACGTCACAACTTTCGTGTTTTCCCGGTACAAGTTCAAAAATTAAAAATTTACAGTTTGTTTCGAGGAAAAAAACGCCCCCAAAAATGTATTTTGAAGACGAAGTTCCAAATTTTGACTTGTGTCAGGGCCACAGGCATAACCCTATGGTCTCATGCAGGTCTTTCTGACCGTAATATCATGACAATCTCTCGTTGGTCACCGCAAAGAGAATTCCCTCAGGAGCTACAACACACGTCCTTCGTCAGGACAGCTGCGGTTGTTCAGCGACGTGCTTTCTCATGATTTAAATGCACCGCCCKATAAAGAATACAAGTATTTCAAGGAAACAGTCAGCAGCTTCAAACTTTTTCCAGCGATAGCTCTTCAGYTCCACAAAATATCTTCTCGAGGCAAGACGAAACAATCAACTTCGCTGCCATGTTTTCTCGCTGTCAAATTGAGCAAAACCACGTTTCTTTCAACCRAGAATTTCATTCACAGTGACACTTGTTATCCACTTTTGATCACTTTCGTAAAGATAATCAATTCTGAAATATTTTATTAAGATTTCTATTCAATCTTTGGACATTTCTTTGTATTTTTTTAAAAGTTTTAGAATGATAAATGTTTAAAATACATAGCTAACGATTCTTTCACGCTTCACATTTGCCTCTTTGGCGTTTATTACACAAAATTTGATTGGCGAACGATCGAAGTTCGTGATGTATGGAGAATTTGTATTTTGATATGAGAATCAAATTCAAATAAAGACTAAGTCTCGGGTTTGTATAACTGTCTCGAATTCTCCCAACCTCCCCTCGTGTTGCTATCAGGCTATGTGAACACGGAAAAAGTTTTCTATTGCTTAATTCATGCTCATTCCCGCAGTTATTACGTCCATTTTGAAATCACAAGTGAAATCCTGCAATCTGATTGGTTYCCTGCAGCAGTGATTTCAGCCTAAATTGCACGACTTTGAGCTCTAAACTGCACGATTTTGCAAATCATCTGATATGAACCAATCACAAGAGAGACATGTCATTTTCTAGCCAATTATATTAAGGAATACATTTGAGTGTTGAGCTCGCCGCTTCTTGCCAAAAAAAAAAAAAAGAGCCACGGCTTTTGATCCTATATGAATTCATTCATATATGAAAGTGTTGGTTTTCAAAATGAGAATCATTGCTCGATCAGTATAAACAAGTTMTCTTGACAGCATGTTTGAATCGACTTCTTATAGATTGTAAGTGATGTCGGTTTAACTGGAAAAAAACGTCTTTTTCAAAAAAGATTTCAAAATGGATATAATAAAGTGGTAATTGAACTTCGGGTCGTGCAATTTTGGGTCTGAAATCAAACGCGCGATTACAAAATCGCACGACCGCGTAGCGGGAAAAAATTGCACTCTACTCAGTTCAATTGCCATTATTTATTGTTAACATCTAAGTTTCTTTCTCATATATCATCGTTTTGTTTCTGGCCCCAGAAGTTTGACTTAATTGTGACTCATTTGCTTTCATTCTATGTCGTCAGGTGATTGGTTAACTTTCTTCYTTGATCTCGGTAAGTGTGTCCACAGAGAAAGAAATATAAAACAGATTTCCCCCCGCAGAATTGATAAAACCACGAAAAAAAATTAACCATACAGCCCCAGGCTAGACCTATAGTGATATAATAAAATAATGTCAATCTATAAACTAAATGTWTACCTTATCAATTAACATAACTGGGGGTTAAGTCTTACCTTTTAAGGTTGGATTTGCTTCCCTTGGAGCCTGGCTTGTCAGGACTTGGTTTCTCAGGTTCCTTGACGACAAGAATAGGAGAAGAAACTTCCCTGGATAAACAAGACAAAACAAAAACGATCTCATTGTATTACCAGTTCTCCTCTGTCACTCTCACACAGGAAACCCATCTACTTACCTCTGTTGTTCCTTGGAGTTGATCAGGAGTATCGGTCGGTGTTCGTTCAATGGTTCTTTTGATAGTTCTTCGAGGGTAAGGAATTTGGCACCAACTTTCATCTGCCAATCACGAAAAAAATATATAATAAAGTATAATAAAAATATATATAAATATATAAATAATAATAATATATATATAAAGTATAATAAAAAATGTTGTCAAAGAGCTAGACTATATCGTCATTAAATTTCCCTTGGGTTGGCATAGAGCAACTGATTTAGCATGTTAGCGAAAAATATCTTCGTACCAGTACTCTCGAGAGCCGTGAATGGTCAGGTACTGTATGCCTACATGTTTCACGCTCATGYGACACAGTATTTATTTTACCATTCTGAGGTTTATGGAAAAATGCATCGAATTGGAATTGCAGGGCATTGTAAGACATATTTTCAAAACAGCGTCTAATTCGTCCCSYAAAACAGTCCCATCGTGCWTTGCAATGCCAACTTGACCCAATTTCCCCCTCATCCTCGGAATGGGTAGAAGTAATCAGTAAATACTTTAAAATTTCGTATTTGTGTTTTTCCATTGCGGTGGTCCGTTTTCAATCAAGAATGCCACGTTCATAACAAAACACTTGCATGGTCTATTATAAATCAWGGGATCGGCGATTGGAAGATAGGCATTAAACAAAGGAGATGGGTGTTWGTTCCGGTTACCCAAACAATCTGASCGAGGGGGAAAGGATTTTTTTGCTGACCATGACGGGGCGTTATACATGTCACCCTGTCCTACCTTACATACAAACACCCCCGCCCTATCAAGCGAAGGCCCTCTAAAGGCCATCTTAATCTTACCGGTCCAACATCGTAAAATCCGTCCTGAATRATGTTGCTTGGACTAAGAGATCCTGTAGTAGCGTACTTCGCTGGTAAATTACTGTCAAGCAAACATTCCATGGCAACTGAGGCAAACCCAGACTGACGAGTCGTAGACAAGGAAATTTCTCTTAGAACATCAAGACCACTGGGAAAAAATAGAACCTATGGTTAAATCCATTGCATCTTGTTATTCAATTGTACACCATTCATGGTGTACAACCCCCCTGAGGTATCGTTGCTATGTACCACAGGCTCAATAAATTAGCTCAGAAGTTAAAACTTTAATGGTGGAAAATCGATTAAAATCGTTTCAATTATTTACAGTCCTGTAAACAAAACAATATATTTGCAGCAATCCTTGAAGTACTAACAAATATTGTGTACAAAATTCATATAAATACATGAAAATCCGGATGTACTTCTATATGGATTGTTAAGTAGTTTACGGGACGAAACTTTAATTCCGCTGGAAAAACTGCTCCATCAGTGATTGGTGAAGATGAAGTGGAAGGAAGTTATTTTACACAGGTCTTACCCAAGTTGACAGATCTCTGTGGCGGTAGGCAGGTCGTTAGCACACTGTAATATTGCCCAGGATGCACTTCGTCTTACTTCATCATTATTGGACTGTAGTAACTCAACAAGTCGAGGAAGCCCTCCTTCTGCTCTCAACTAATATTACAAATATATGTTGACATTAGTACTAGCGCATACTTCAACAGATCTCAACCAATAACTTTTATATCATGACACAAGCGGAAAGTCAGCAAACGAGGGTAGAGGGGATGGGGTAAAGTGATCATTTTTCTCGTTCCTTCCTTTCTTCCTTTCATCTTTTCTTTGCTCTCTTTCCTTTCCTTTCGAATAGACCTCCTCGGCTCTGGAGCGCTCGAGCGTAATGTTGTTCCATTTCAGRCCACGTGTCATTCCTTTAAGAATAATTTTCTTTGAGTTGCATCCATATTCATGTGTCTTCTCATGTGCAACCGAGCGCAAACCTTAAACAAAGAAATGATACTCTAGGGAATGACACGTGGTCTGAAATGGGAAAACATTACGTCAGAGCCGAGGAGGTCTATTCCTTTCCTGGTCATTCATAAACTCTGTTGTTTTGACATAATAAATCCTACAACTTTGTTTCTAGTAGTTACCTCATTTCTTGAATCAGCATCGCCAACAAATGCCGCCACGGTAACGGCTACTTTACTCTGTACAACAGCAGCGCTATAACATAACGAGGCATTTAAAATATGATTTTGAAACCGCCAACATCTCGCATCCACAAATGCGTCATGAAGTTAATTGAAGTGTTTATCGAATCTCCCTTAAATAATGTTTTTATGAGTGATACGCAATCAAAAGAAAGCTAGTTTTGATAGTAACATATAAATCATGTATTKTGGGATTGTAGTTGGCTGCCGTTATTTAGTGACTCACTGTCTACGATGACAGATAATAATAATAAAAAAAAACCTAACACTAAAAGTTGACAGTGATGTCTTACTTTGACTGTAGGGCTTGTACCAAAGCAGGGACAACACCCCGCTGCTGAACTTCAGATCTCCAGGACTCTGATGAATGAAATCAAAATATGTGTTATAAGTCTCTATTAAGAAAAAAAGAGGAATTTATTATCGTATTTTCCTGATAGCTCTGCAGCAAAAATAATTACGAAACGAGCTAAAGAGCAGTTTTGTTTTGACTACGAAAAATTCGATGTCACGTATACGTGTATTGCCGCAAACGCCACGTACTGCGGGATTGTAATTGGCTGATTTTGTTCTTGCACAATATGACTGGTCTTTCACTGCAGTAATGTGACCTCGGCGTGCCCATCTCCACACCGTGTTCAAGCCGTGTTCGGGGTATCTTATTGGATAGAAACCGTAAATTCTWACGCAATATGTTATTTGTCAAGTGTATGCTTATCGTGTCAGGACTGCGTTCATGCCCCGAGTTTTTCACAGTCAAATGAAAACTGCACTATTAGAGGAATCCATGAAATACTATATTTATAAACGTACAATGTCAACTAAAACATTGGGTCAATTCTCGTTTAAGATTCCACAATTAATATTAAACATGGGTGCAATAWCGTCCCTTAAAAAAAATTATGATAATACATTTTTATTCTTACTGATAACATATTTATTTGGTACCCTGTCAAATGTTCATAGAGTATGGGAAAATATGGCAAATTTAATCCCACAGTGGATTTTTTATTATTATAGGGAATTCTGATTGGTCCACTCACCATCAGAAGCCAGRTTAGTGAGGCACACTGCAGCATTTGATTGGATGAGTGATTTAGGATCCGTGAGCATCGCGATCAGAGGTTCTATGCCGCCCTTCTCGACAACATCACTGTCATGAAACAAAAGTAGAGTTATATATTGGAGTAGCTGGACAGAAAAAAAGACCTCTTTTAGCTTTWGCGTAATTTTTTCCCTTTCAGACCACTTGTCATTTCCTTGAGAATAGATTATTTGTTTGAGTTGTATCCATATTCATGTGTCTTCTCATGCGCAATCGTCAAACAAAGGAATAATACTCTAGGGAATGACATGTGGTCTGAAAAGTGAATGGGCAGCACCACCCAATAGTTCCATTCACAGTTCCCTGCGCGCTCTTTATTAAATGGTAGCCGTGCCTTTGCTTCGAAGCGAGATGAACGGTGGGCTYGCAATGACAGAGACATGACTGTCCAAGGGTGTAAAAAACGTTCTCTATCATTTCAAGCGCACCGTTCTTCGTGCAAAGACATGGCAATCTTTCAAGATAGTGCAGGGAACTGTGCAAGGGACTATTAAACATGTAGCTATGTCAGAGAGCTGCATTAATTGAATAGATAAGTATAGCACGTAATTATTAATACTGAGATCGAAAAACCTGCAGTTTGGTGGGTTTGAGGTGGTGAGATTGGCCAGAGCAAGAGTACCAGCTTCTCGTACATCMGGGGATTCACTGTTAAGCAAGTTGATGATTGGTTGAATACCCTCTAGAATAAATTGCATACACAAACGATTAATTTGCAAGATTGGACAAGAWTGATAATGACATCGTAAATTGGCAAGACCGATATTGATGGTTTTCAACCATTCCCAAGAGAATTAAATAACAAAAGACACGGAAGCCATGTTGGAGGATACAACAAAAGAATTTATTGACAATTCTTTTGTTAAGTTTTTCCAACATGGCCGCCGTGAAAACCATCAATAACGTAGACCAGAGATTTCAACGTAACCATAGATCATTTCACTGATGTGTCGGCCATCTTAAATTATGCGAAGTCAATGTGGCAAACAAATTATAAAGCATAGAATGCCCTATTCAAATAATTCCAAGTCTTATTATTTCGCATATTGTTTCAACTGCCTGCACATTCAATTGCTTTTTAGATGCGCTTCTCATTGAAAAGCGTAAAGTTATGTAAAAAGACACCCTTACAGCCGTACAGTCTATAATTTTTCCAATAGTTGTCCCCTTGATATCCYATAATGTTTTAATTAAAATAAAACAATAGAATTCAAGAATTCAAGAGTGAGGTGAAAAACCTGGATCATGGTAACAAAAATAATCTTGGCCCTATGGCTCAATAGCACTCTTACGGCGTCTTACCTAGTTTACCAATGGTGTCTCTACTGCTGAGGTTTTCTGACATGACAGCCAAGGCCATGGCAAGGGATGTCTGTATTCCAGGATTCTATAGTTACAATTGTATATATAAAAATGTTACTTTTGATAGATTTAATCTTGACACGAGTTTAGTATGCATGGGATCAAAGCGTAAGGGCAAAGCGCATTTCTCTCCACCGAGCAAAGATCTGGGTTTGAAAATAATAATAAGACCTAACTGTGATGAAGGCAGCTAAAAGAGCGAAGATATATTATAACGAACTACAATAATCTACTCACATCTGTAGGCAGTAGGGCAATTAAAGTTTTTTCACATTCTTGTTCATGAAGGATTTTCCTGTTTTCAACTGMAATAATCATTATAAAAATTATAAGTGTGGAAATAGGTAGAAAAATACGTTAATTTTTAGTTTCGTAGCATGAACACAGGCATTTCTTTTGCTCTTTATTTATTTCCTTCTCTATTTTTGTTTTTTCGGTTGGGGGGGGGGGGGCATAATAAATATATATTTAGGCCGTGTAGTATTCGTTTAAAATATAGTAAAACTGGGCATACTAGAATCTTAACTCACCGTTTTTAGCTGCCAGAGCAATRGCTTTAGCCTGTAAAAGAGAGCATTAGTTGACGGTAAGTACGAGCCCTTATTATCAGATTACATCCTCGTCATGTCGGCGCACGAGGCTAAAAACGTCAAAATATCTGAAATTGACCTGAAGGTCCGAGTACTGGGGACAGCGGTTGCGAGCAAGGAACAAGAATCAGGTCGTGCCTTTCGACCCTAGCAAGCGACAGCCGATTCAATCCATTATGTGAACACGAAGCCATGTTCCCAGTTAATGGAATAAAATTCTTCCGTGTACCGCTGAACGGGATTGTTCAAAGCGTAAGTAGCCTTCCTATATTGATTCATAGTTTTGCTTGCTGGAATAGTTGCGACGTTTTTCGAAAAGATTGTTGCAAACATCGTTGGACATAGTAGTCTCCAACAACGCTGCAAGAATCGATCGTGTATTCGAGCCTTGAAGCTGCACATTAGTAGCAACAGTAGTGATAATAGCAAGGCAGYAGAAAACAACATCCATGAACAGAAGACGCACTATCGTGTCACAGAATCAAGCAGAACAATTAGATGAACAAGACACTTACCGCATGTTGTTGTACTTCAGGGATCTGCGATTCAGCTACAAATGCTAGGAACTTTTGTAAGGCTCCAGACGTCTGGATGACCTGGAGAATAGTTGTGTGTTACAATCAATCTTGGTTTGGTAAACCAACTTGGCCAGTAAGGGCAAGAGAAAGTATTGGTATTGCTAAGTTGAGATCTGATATAAAGCGTTGGTATCCGATTGGCATGTAATCTCAACACTCCCCATTAAGGTCCCAACCCCTTCCTAAAGAAAATGGTACAATAAAGACCTTGTATCATCACGTGATGGCAGCCATGACAGGAGGTAGGGACCATTAAGCGTGGTCTAAACTGATTTAAATTTTTTTAAATCATTTTCCCAGGGGAAACGACTCTACTGATATGCCTACTGTCAAGGTTCATGATGATAATGAGCCTCTCATTAGCCACAGATTTTTATTAAGGACATTCATGGGCAAAGGAACCCATCAGATTTGTATAAACTGTTGCATAATGCAATTTGATTTTTGTTTTGGTTATCAAAACATAGGGATGACGTCATCACGATGAGCGCGCGCGTGCTTTATGTATGCGTAGATAGAATGCGCGCGAACGATGTCCCGGCCATAAACGTCTTTAAAGTCGCGATTACATGGAGCAATTTTCTCTGCACCGTGCAAACATTCGTGCAACTTGTTTAGTAATGATACTGCGAGAAGTTGCAGCAATTGTTGCAAAAAGTAGAATTCGCTTCCACTTTTGGCAATGATTGCGTCTCCGTTGCACCAAACAAACAAACAAAAAAACAAAAAACACAACAACAACAACAAAAAAAMACACACACACACACACAYACACACACGCACACCAAACAATCAAGGAAGGCTTTACTTAGTCTGTCGTAGTCATTTGGGTTAAAACGATAAATTGGAATTCAGCTAAAGCAGTTCTTGAGTGACCCCCTCCCGAGAAAAAAGCCACGATAGTTATGCACACTTTTAGAATGAATAACTGGATAGTATAATAAGTGATTTTCAATGCACGGAATTATGACATCAAGCTATGCCACATACAGACCTGCATGCTTTCTACGTCTTGTAAGCAGTTAGTCAGCACTTGTAAGGCATGGACGTGAAGATCATCGAACTCCTGAAACAGATACTTGATTACATTTACGGTAAATGGCAACTTGTGTGTGTCCTTCTGCGACCAAAATCAATATACTTTTMAAATAAAATAACATTAATATTCAATATAGATTACCTTATTTCCCACAAAGTCCACCAGTTTTTCAAGTCCCTCAAGCTCTCGAAGAGCGCTCCTATTCTCAGCTGAGAAGAAAATAAACCAATTGAATAAACGACAGATAAACGGTGGTAACGCAGGTGATACTGCAAAACAGGAAGACAGTCATTTTTCATTTGCTTTAGAATTAGCTATTAAGAAAACTTTTTTTCTTGCTAGATATTCAAGAGCTCCAGGCCTTTCTTTTCTTTTTTTTTTTTTTTTGGGGGGGGGGGGGTGCTCTGTAAAGAAACTAAAACAGCGATACAGCAAGAATGGAAAGGGAAACAAAAGACTAGAAAACACTTTTTTTTTCTCAAACTCTCGTTGCTGTGCTGTGCGCAACAGATTCAGAATCACGTGACCTCTACAGCACAACAATATTGATGGTTTTCAACCATTACTAAGAGAATTAAATAACAAAAGACACGGCGGCCATGTTGGAGGATATAACAAAAGAATTCATTGACAATTGTTTTGTTAAGTTCCTCCAACATGGTCGCCATGAAAACCATCAATAATCCATTAGCTCGACCAAGAGTTTTCAAGATAGTTTGTCTAGTATTTATGCTATATAAGGAAAAGGATCTTTGACAGGTGTTTATTGATGATTAATGATTAATTGTCAAAGACATTCCCTCATTTGATTTTATTCGTCAGACCCTTGAACCTTTTCTTATTCCCCGCATCTATTTAGCTTCATTAAGGAACATAAAGGGCTTTAGATGCTGTCTTTGTCTTTGAAAACGGTATATTCCACTTCTAGTCCACGACAAAGGGACGGAGGAGGGGAATTAAGAATGATTAAAACGTGCTTTTACCTTCCAAAGTGATTTGTGTCAAACTTTCTAAAGCCAGTTGCTGTATGATGGCATACTCTGAACTTAACATGCTAAGCAATGAAGGTATCCCTAAAACAAAAAAGGCAAAGCGGAATGCAAGGTTACTGCTTGCAGACCATGAGTAGTAAAAAGTAATGACCCTTCTGTTTTTGATAATGTTAAAGATTGGATACAAAATACCTGACTYGTACCCAGTCGTCACTCACACTTTTTTAATGGGYGCGGTGGCTTTCTTCCATTCTTCCCTTGATGCACCGCGAACTCACTAAATCCTTCCCTTCAACCATRGCGTGAGATCAAGAGAAGCCACTGGGTACGAGAGAGACGTTTTATAGGACGGTTTATTTTACTGCCAAACTTTCGGCCATTGAATGTTAAAAATAGTGTATAATTTTAAAAACTTAATTCAGTGTATCGTAAATGTCCTATAAAAAGGTAATAAAATAATCTATTCCACCTTGCCTCTTCTCGTTCCTGTTCCCATTCCAATTCCTCCAGTTCCCAATATCCTTCTCTTATTTTTCTCTCCATGCCCTGCTCTTCTTCCCCTCTCAGTGTCCTATCCCTCCTCTAAATCCACCGCTCTCTTAATACAACACGTTAGCATTTCCCTCACCATTGAGTTCCCTGATTGCAGACCTGCTGTGGTAGTCTTGGACAAGGTGACAAATGGATTCAACAGAATTTTTCTGCAGAACAAATTTTAAATAACATGAATCAGTATTATATAAAATCCAAAAATATGACATGGCTTGGAGAAAATTGACAGCAGAGTTTAAGAATATGAAGTAAAGTGTACYAATAATATCCTTACCTGTACATCACAGTCAGGTGATGAAAGGAGTTTGATAAGAGGTTCCAATCCACCCTGCTCAAATATCTCTATTTTACTAGAGAAATCAGCTGAAAAAGAAGATGGTAATGAGCTCCTGATAACAATTCTGTTCTTGCACACTGTCGGTTAATTAATTACGTCCACTGGATGAAAGTGCATACTGACAGTACAGTGTTGCACTTTGTTCAACAATAGAATTCAAATCAGAGTCAGTACTTACCTGACATGTTAGCAAGAGCTAGGCTTGCAAATTCATGACAAAGAACATCCTCTATATAGCAAGAATACACATATTCTGTTATTTTTCAGAATTCAGGTTGACTCAAACAGGGTGATTTTTTATCAATGTTGTGTTTAGTGCCATCCAATGTTACTGATCTATCCAGCTGAACCCATCCCTCCATCCACCCAMCCACCTAGCCATCCATCCCATTTGTCCATTTTGTATATATATTGTTCATCATAAGTCTCCAACCATCTATTTATCATCCTTTTCATCCCTCCTAACCATCCATCTAGTTATTCGTCCATCTACCCATTTATTCATCCATCCATCCATYATCTATCAATCCCACCCATCCATCCATCCATTCTGTCCTTTATCTCTCTATCTATCTTGCCAATATATCTTGTATTTCTCCAGTCATCACCCACCCTATCCACTAATTATATCTATCTAATATAATATCCATCCATCTATATTTAGGCATCCTTTCACTCAATATATGATCCATTCATTCATTCAYTCACACATTACCTTCAGGTCCAAGGAGAGAAACAAGAGATGAGACACTTGACATTTTTCTCAGTTCTCTGTGAATAGTTACTAAAATGAAAAGAAAATGAGCAATATCAATGACACCTTGAATCATATACATATATATTTCAATACAATTAAGCTAGGACATTTGCATGATGGCATAATTTGACTCTTCATGAATTTTCTTTCTTTTTGATGATGCTAATTAACTGAACRAAAGAAAGTGTGCAAGGGAGTCTGGTAGTAGAGGTAAATGACACCATCATGCAAACTTCCAATCATTGGTTTTTTCTTGATGTTCAACAATCCCAAGTAGTGATGATATAAGAAATAAATGGTCTGATTTTCTTTAAAGCAATTCACTATTTTTTTAGTGTGTTTACCATTATGAGATAAAGTCCCAAGACACATTGCAGCATTTCTTTTGACCACTTTATCCTCAGAACCAATCAGACGTAAGAGTGGGTCAAGGGCACCAAGTGTCATCAGCAGTTGTCTGTTTTCATCACCTGTGTATTAAATGCCAAGACAAACTATAAGTTACCTACAAATAGCTATAATAATGCCTCGAAAGCACTGTCGCAATATTTAAGTCTTGCAGTAAAATAAATTGTAATAAAGCATGTTA